CAAGACATCGGCAGCTCTCCCTGCCCTGCTTCCCAGCTCCCTGCTCCCCACACTCCCTCCAGTGCACCCCAGCTATCCGCTGGGTCAGTGCCACATCCCCCTGACCTGCCCGATCATGGTTTTGGCCAGCACTTCTGCTCGCCTGGGGCCGCTCAGCATGTCAGCTGCCTTCAGGAAGATCTGCGCTCGGTCCTGGACGGGTTTTAGGTCCCACTCCTTCCTCGCTGCCAAGGCAGCATTAATAGCTTTGTTAATGAGCTCCTGCAGGAGAGAAGGGGAAAGGCAGCAAGGAGGAACCCTCCACCACTCCGTCACCAGGCTGGAGGGGAAAGCGAGGGGCCACCCATCCCTAGGCACAAACCACAGCAGCACCTTCCCTTTGCAGCCCCCGGTATTGATTTGTTCCAGGATCCATAGGACCTGGAAAGCCAACACCCACCCCGGGGCCTCCCTGCTCACCGTCCAAGCAGTGATTTGTGTTTCATCCAAACCTCTCATTAACAACCTCACACCACAGGCCAAGCCCCGCTGCAGGATAACGTTTGCTAAACCCAGGTGAAGGGCTGCCTCTTCCCCCCAGAGAAGAGGAGGGCAGTGAGGTGCACTCACCTTGCTGGCATAGCAGAACTTGGCCACCTTGTGTGCATGGTTAAATGGCTGAAAAGAGAAGAAGAGTCCACAGTTATCAGCCCGACAGATCTCCCTGCTGCTGGGTACATCCCTCTGTCCATTCCCACCTCTTAAAGCGGTTTTCCCCCACACTCACCGACAGCTGGTACCGCACTGTTGGTGTCCACACCTCTTCTCCCCCGATCACACATGGGATGGCTTCTGTCTTGCCCTTCAGGTCAGCAAGTGCCTGATGGAGAAGAGGAGAGTATCATGGTGGGAGCTGCACACATGGACCTCCCTCTCCCTGCGTCCTCCCCGCCAGCCCCACAGGCAAAGGGAAACCTGGGGACAGGCTCCCTTTGGGCCCTGGGGTGCCCACAGGCTGGAGGGACAGAGACGGGAGTTACAAATCCAAGGATGCTGGAGAGGGACCTTCATCAGGGACTGGAGTGACAGGACAAGGGGTGATGGGGTCAAACTGGAACAAGGGAGATTTAGGCTGTATAAGGAAGAAATTCTCCCTGTGAGGGTGCTGAGGTGCTGGCACAGGGTGCCCAGAGA